ATGTTTACTCAGTTTACTCAGGTGATCTAAAAATACAGCTGATAATGTGAATTGATAAAAACTGGTATGTTTTGGCAAAAAAAATTCTTTAATTCCATGTATACGAGGAGTGATCTAAAAGTTCGCTTAATAATTGGATTACTTACAGAAAAGAAATAAAATTAGGTTCCATTGTTCATTATTATTCAAAAGTAGTCCTCTTTGATTTAAATGCCCATCTAATCCCCTTCCCCACCTCACCCCACCTTCTCGGACCTTTCCAACAAGCGAAAAAACAACCTCTGACGGAAATACCGATATACGGTACATACAAAACAGGCAGAAGTACAGATAAAAACAATACCATTTAAAAAAAAATTCTTTAATCGTTAAAAATAACTTACTCAAAGTGAAAACTTGATTTCCAAAATATATATGGAGATAACGAAAGATATTGAAGCTCAAAAGTCCATTACACAATACAAAATTGGAGTATAGCAAACGCGGACATCTAAAACATCAGAGGTGGGATCAGGTGCTTAAAGGAGTGAACATCTCCTGTCGACCGGGTACACCTGCCTCGTGGTCTTTGTCATGATCGGGAAATAACAGGAAGAAACCGGGGACAATACCTCTGTTTAAATAATGACCTTACAATTAGTATTTTTAAAGAAGCCAGTCAGCATTTGACACAATGATAAATTGTATTTGCTGATGATTCCTTATGTAGACCATAGAACTTATGGAATGATTACTTCAAACGAGACTGCTTATATTCTTACTTTTTCAAATTATTTGTCAATAACTTACCTCGATTTAGAAATTGTTCCTACGTAGAGCATGATCCCGGGTATCAAATAAACCGAGATATGCGAGTGATGAAGGTATATTGCTGCGTAAGTACATGCAACTTGAAAAGAAAATTGACGAGTGAAAAGTTGAAGTTATCACGTTAATCATAAATATTGGTTGTTGGATTACCATTAACGTCCTTTTCAAGTGAAATATCCAAATATGAAACAGATGTGTCAGACTCTGTGATATCTTTATTTCAGGCTCACAGGATATATCACACCGACATAAGAATCGAAATAACCGTCGTAAATTGTCAATATGTCCTCGATATACCGGTATATAAATGTCGAGCTGAAGGCCACAGCAAGTGTTTTCTTCTTTTCACGTATTTCATAAGATAATGGAAAATATAAATACGAAAATAGGTCTGCCAATAACGAGACACAATTGGTACCCAAGGGAATTCCAATACTAATAGATTGTTGGAAGTCTGGGAGACCTGGTCTCAAAAAACCACATAGATATTGTCAATCAGACACCCGACCATCAGTCTTTTGATCTCAACTGCAGAGTACTTGTGTGTACAATCAAAATTATTTAAATCAAAATAATTTTGCAAATGACCAATGACAAGGTAAAAAACAAATAATTTCATAATGTGGGGAATGGCTGTGTAAAAAGTTGAAAAGTCGTTTTAAATCTTTTTATCTGGGTAATTTCTTGTGATTTTAAATTTTACAGAAGTTTCTTGGAATTTATAAGTATTTACAGCTTAATTACAACACTTCTCGAATATATTGTTGCAAAGTACTTATGAAGTTTTTTCCTTCACTATTGTTAATATTTTAATGAGGAGTAAAGAAAGAGGTTTGGTAGAACATTAACTGGAACCAGCTTTGTATCTTTGCTTGTAATGATTTTTATGAAGTTTCGGAATCATATATAGATATGGTAATTCAAATTCATGTTGGTTGTTTAAAATATAAAAATATTCAAAACTGTCATTTGATTTTGAAAAAAATACCTCCTTAGAAAAGAAGCTATGGGTATAACATGGATTAGTCTACTACTAGAATTAAACCCCAGTTCCACGAAAATACAATTTAAACTAGAAATACTGTGAGCAGTGTGCTCACTAAATGATACTCCCCCACCTTCCATATGGTTATAATGTCAATGTTTTGCCATGGGAAAAACGAAATACATGTCCAATCAAAAAGTAAAATAGGAGGTGCAACTGCTTTTTTATCGGAAACATATTTTGGGCTTCAAGAAGGATTTGGAGATAACGAACAGTATTCAATATCAAAGTCCATAAAACAATACAAAATAGGAGCAGAGCAAACACAGACCTTCGAAACATCAGAGGTGGGATCAGGTGCCATGGAGGAGTAAGCATCCCCTGCTTACCGGTCACACCCGCCGTGTGATCCTTGTCATGATCGGAAAATAACGGAAAAATCCGTCGTCAATTCAGTGTATAAATAATGGATAACAATCTGTATGAAAAACGTCAGTCAGCATTTGACTCAATGATAAATTGTATTTGCTGACAAGGTCATAGTATCGAGCATAAAATTTACGAAATGATGACTTTTAACGAGACTGTTGATATTCTTGTTTCATCAACTTGCATGTCAATGATTTACCTCGTTTTAGAAAATGTTCATACGTAGAGAATGCTCTTGCGTATCGAATCAACTGAGATATATACACTCCGTATGCAGGTGATGAAGGTATATTGCTGCATAAGTATGAGAAGTTCACAATAGAAAAGTTAAAGTCATCACGTTTATCATATAGCTTGGTTGTTAGATAACCATTAACGTCTTTTTCAAATAAAATATCCAAGTATGAAACAGATGTGTCAGACCCTGTGGTATCTTTTATCTCAAGCTCACCAGGATATATCGTATCGTCGTAGGAATGGAAATGACCATTGTTAATTGACAATACGTCGTCGATATATCTAAATGTCGAGTTGAAGGCCACAGCAAGTGTTTTCTTCTTTTCACGCATAAGAATTTGCATAAATTCTGCTTCATATGAATATAAAGCTGCCATTTTTTGTGTAAAATTAAGGTATCCATCTCATATCAGCAACTCTATCACTGAATAAAATTGAATGATACTTTCACAGATTCTTTGTTAGATAATGCCACGGTGCACATGCTATCCGGATATTTACTTTTTGAGCTAACACTTAATACTTCGGTTCTCCCAGAGCGAACTAGATGTATTCTGAGCAGTGAGCTTACTAAATGATACCCCCGCCTCCCATATGATTAATAGGAAAGACAATGTTTTGCTGGGGGGGGGGGGGGGGCGAAATACGTGTCAAATAAAAAAGTAAAATAGCACATGTACAACGGCATCATATGGCAAAGAATTGTGAAAGTATCATTAAATTTTCATGTAGTGGTATAGGAAGTGTTGCGGATAAGAGATAAGTACACTTCAATATTATAGAAAGAATGCAGTGAACATATGTTTGCTATGCGAAACCCAAAATAAGTGTTGCACAACGGCATTATGTTATACAGAACCTGTGAAAGTATCAGCAAATTTTAGTCAGTTGTATTGGAAGAATTGTGGATGAAAATTGGGTGCTCTTTAATACATGTATTATAGATATTATAGTGTTAAGTGCACCTCTTCTTTTACTTTTTAAGCTGACACTTACTTCGGGTCTCCCAGAGCAAACTAGAGGTGTTGTGAGCAGTAAGCTAACTAAATGATACCCCCGTCTCCAATATGGCTATAAAAGTCCATGTTTTTCTCATGGAGACCCGAAATATGTGACAAATCAAAAAGCAAACTAGGAGGTGTACAATGGCATTATGAAACAAAGAATCTATGAAACTGTCCTTAAATTTTATTCAGTAGTAAACATGTAGGAGGAGATGCAGATAAGAGATGGGTACCCTCCAGTATTATAGAAAAATGGCAGTGTGTATGTTTTGCTGTGGGAAACCCAAAATATGTTTCCGAACAAAAAATTGAAATAGGAGGTACACAATGGCACTGCGTAACAAAGAATCTGTGAAAGTCTCATTACATTTCATTCAGTAGTATAAGAGGAGTTGCGGATAAGAGATTAGTACCCCAAAGCGTGACGGACGGACGGACAACCCGATCACTATATATACCCTCCCACTATTCAAGCGGGAGGTATAATGAAATTATGACGCCAGTTAAAAGATCGAGGTTCCCTAAATTTGCCCCCATTAAAATCAATGATTTAAGGTCCTCATTATACCCCTGCTTGAAAAGTGGGAGGTAATACGGTACACTATATAGTGATCGGGATGTCTGTCCGTAACGTCCGTCCACCCGTCCGTCCGTTACGCTTTGGGGGGTACCAATCGTGTCATTGTTCACCTTCTATTTTACTTTTTGATCTGAAACTTATTTCGGGTCTCCCAAAGAAAAAAAAATGAACTTTGTTTTTTTAATCATATGGGAGGCAGGGGTATCATTTGAGGTCTCCCGTGCAAAACATGAACTATGCCATTGTAACATTATGGGAGGCGGGGGTATCATTTAGTGAGCTCACTGCTCATAGAACTTCTAGTTTAATATTGGGTTAGTGGGAGGACACTTTACTGACTTGTCCCCTGTATGGTGTTTTCCTTAACCCTTCATATCGACCACATGGCCACCACATGATTAAATTGCAGAAGCAAACATCATTGATTAATTTTAGTCAATAATTCCTACTGCACTTATTATTTTGGTTTAACGTTAAACAAAGCTTTCAATAAACAAATCATACAAACAAACTTCCTTGCGGAAGGCTGAAAAGATATTTCTTAAATTTCCTGTTGTTCACCTAAATTGCAGAGGCAAAAGCAAACATCATTGATTAATTTTAATCAATGATTCATGCTGCACATATTATTTTGGTTCGCCATTAAACAAAGCTTTCAATAAATACATCAAATACAAATCAAACAATATTTCCTTACGGAAGGCTGAGAAGATAGTTTTTAAACTTCCTGTTGTGTTAAAAAGTACTTGTGTTTTCCCAAGGCTTTAAAGGTACATCGACATGTGTTCACAGCAAATCAGTGTTAAGGGCGACTTTAAATTGTAACACTTAGCTTAATTGAGGCCAGCAGGATCAGGAGATGGTATAATTAATGGTGGTTTAAATGGAGGAATTGAAAAGAGTCTCTATACCTCTTACTAGGATTTTGTCTTCTCAAATTGCACAAAACAGAGGTTCTAAATGCTCTTGTTCCGAGTCATATTATGGGTGATCTTTGTTAGAACAATAATGGAGCAGCGATTGTTTACGAAGTTATTGAAACAAAATTGGTTGGTTTTCCTCTGTGTTGCGTGTGTTGTGAATTTTACTAGTAAGTAAACACATATATTGAAATTATGTTCTTTTTAGAGCATTTAGATACATGTATTTCACTATTTATTAAAGAAAGATGAATACTAGAATTTAGATTAATTTCCAATTCTATCGAGTAAATTTAAGAATGAGATCTACCTGCTTTAACTGCTTCAATTAAATTACGATTTTCTGACAATTTTTTTTCGGTATAGATGACATGCTTTAATATACATGACATGTCATGTATATAGCTTTCCTTCATTATAACATTCTTTGACATAAATAATCCAAACATTTCAGTATCGCACTTAAAAACTAAGATTTCAGTGAAAATCAGAGTATTGAAAAGCTTTGTTTTGAACATATTTTATTGACAATATGTCAGAGGAATTGGACACAAGTTCCAAAAACTTAGATAGGCCTCTCCCATACATAAAATCTGGATAGCCATACATTTACAAAGTTTTACAATAAAATATACATGTACATGGAAAAACAAAAACAATTGTCTTATGAATAATGAAATAATATCAGTTAATAATAATGGTGATGATAAATACAGTGTTGATATTATAAAAATATAATAATTTCAATAGAGATAATACGAGGGGTGTTAGAAAAGTTCGCGGACAAGTTCTATCGTGAGCGCGCTATTTCCACGAAACCGGTCAACCTTTCCAGATATAATCTTGAGCTTTTTTCCAATAAATATACAAGAAAGTGGTGCTCTCTGATGATTATTGAAAAATATACAGCATTTTTATTTTGATAAATCTTGCTTCACGGAGCATGCTTCATTTTGGCACGTTTATATCACAAAGACTCTTTATTAGAAATAAAAATTGCACAATTGTAGTGCCAAGAGATTTATGATATTTCACCTGCCGCTAACGTATGCAGGAAACGTCATTGGGAGAAATTTTGAACTAAATTGGAGGGTATATGGCCGTTTTATAGCCGTTTAAAAATGATGATTGCGTAAAAACACAGCCAAAAATCAGAACGTCATTGAGCGTCATGGAGCACTGCACTACGTAAAACTTATGTGTGCAGACAGGAAAATGTCTAAAAAGATATTAAAATGTTCAAAATGCTGCCGGGAATATCCTACACATACAAAGAACAAGTTTTCAAATGGTTGTAGCTTCATAAGAATGGAGGGAGTAACATTTTGGATGATTAACTACATCGATACTTCAATAACCCCCCTATCGCATGGACTTTGCGTTGCGCCTATATGATTTTGCTTAGTTTCCATACCTGATTGATTGACTGCATAGACTTTTTTTATTTTTGAAGATCTCAATAATATCCGGAACAATACAAAAGACATTATAGTTGAAAAGTAATATGTCTTGATATAGAAATTCAATTTAAAAGTAGAAAAAAGATAAGAAAAATATGAAGAAATCAAAGATTTATAGAACTGCGACAAAGCTTAAAGGGTTGAAATCTGGTTGTCACGTCGCCTTACGTCAAGTGATTGCTCCGTGAATCCCATAACCCCATAGTAAAAATAGTTGTAAAATTTTAAGATTTTATTATATGGACCTGATTTTTTACATACCAATAAACAAAATGTAGGAATTCATTCAGACATAGGTCATACTTCACAGTACACAATTGATTTTCTGTAATTCAATATGTCCGCGAACTTTTCTAACAACCCTCGTACAATTAAGTGTTAACTAAAACGACCTGATTCCTGAATAAATTTTTGCACAATACCAAATATTTTTTTTCATTTTCCTGCGAAGATACATCTCCCCATAGCAATTTATGCACATTAATCATTTTTACATTATGACTTAAAAGTAATGCATTCATCATTAAGCGTCTAGGTTCAAAATATTTTCTACAAACAACGAAAACATGATGACTATCCTCTTTCATACCACAAGAACAATTTGGATTCCTTATGATATTACATCTATGCAGATCATAATTTAAAACACAATTGTGTCTTAGTTTTGTATGTAAAATATTCAGATACCTTCTGCCATATGAAAAATACTTGGGAGGCTTATCATTATTGAAAAGTACATATACCAGGTTTTAAATTAAATAATACATTATATAGCTGTTTCTGATAAATATCTTGATCTTAAAATTGATCTAAATATCTGATCCGACATGATAATAAATGTCTTTTAATCGTCCTTAAATAGCCCATTGTTTTTGAATCGATTGTTCTATTTTCATGAAAACATGTGTAAATATACTGCAGACTGATGTATTTCTGCTTATTTGAATAGATTTCAGTGTAAATTTCGTTTAATTCCCCTAGTATCCGAGTTAAAAATGATTAAATTTAAGAAGCTGTATCAACACAATTTTTCTTACAAAGGATCTATTTTGTTAGTAACTTTATTTTAATACGTAATCCATTGTCAATGTTCTGATAATTTTAGACGGAAATGGCGAGGCTTGCGGAACTATTGACAGTGGAACTCAGTTATTCTGCCCCAACAGCTACCACTGCTGTAGCGCGGCGCTACACTCCTGTTGTCAGGAAGGGTACAGTTGTCACGGCTCCAACTGTATCAGCTTCATCGCGTAAGTTTTACTAGTTCATGCTCAGTATTTTTATAACTTTTCTTAGTTATAGAACCGCAATATGTTTTACCCAGTATTTTTATGCCTATATCCGCGATTAAGTTATTATCCAGTATTAGTATAATGTACATATCTGATATTATTATTAATTTTATTCATAAAGCATGTCATTTTTTATCGGTAAGGTAGCTGATGAATGTTTACTGATTTTTTTGCTTGTGAAATAAAGTGATTTAATAAGCGTGTTATTCCTTTCAGTGTATTTGTGATACCTAGTGTTGTCTCATTTGTAATTATAGTCACAGTCATCGCTAAACTCATCAAGAAAAGTAAGTATGAATAATTTATATTTACTTTATTTACCTAAACATGCATACTGGTATTATTAATATCACTTATTATATGATTGAATAATTTCCATCTCTCTGATTGGCTGAGATCCTACTATGTTAGAAAAATACTACGTTGTATTGACCTGCACGCGACGTTCCAGGTCAATACAAGGATTTATTTACTCTACATTGATCTAAAAATAGATTGGGAAATTCCAAATTGATACAAGTTGTTTTGGAAAGCTATTTAAACGACTATGATTTTTTTGTTGTGAACAAAACATAAGCAAATATATATTTTAGGGTGAGGGTGGTAAGAGGGGATGCAGGGACCCCCCTACAACACTTTTACTGAACAACATTTTTTTTTTTTACATTTTGGCAGTCAGTTTTCTCTGAAATACACCTTCCTTTCAAAATCTATCCTATAAAAAGACTGACATTATATATTTTTTCATGGCAACTAAAATTGATAAAAAAAACATTTCAAATTGATACGACTGGTACGGTTTATTCACATTTTAATTCTGCTTCTCTCTTGTATTTGGCTAGGACTTAATTAGTTTAGTTTTATATATATTTTATTCATAAAAATGGATTGAACAGCAGGCATAAATGCCTATGATCGTTCTCTCCATAGGACTTAATTAAATGCAAACAAGTAATGAGCTGTATCATTTTATCAGTGAATCATATAATAAAACAATTATTGCTGTTTTTTCGGTGAATACAATGATTTAGCCATCTTCGAAGTATAATATTCACCTCGCCCTTCGGGCTCGGTGAATACTGTACTCCTCAGATGGCTAAATCATTGTATTGACCTCGAAAAACAGCAATAATTGTATATTATTTAAGTTTTTAAATATGAATATTGCATGCATTGTTACAACGCACTTTGAAAAATTACGCACTTTGAAAAAAAAATTCAAAGTGCGTTAAATTTGGGACCAAATCAACGCACTTTGAAAAAATAAAATTTCTTTTCAAAGTGCGTTGATATCGACCATTTTAACGCACTTTGAGAAAATTGTGTATGGCTTGGTCAATATTCTTGAAAATCTTAGGTATGAAAAATAATTGATTCTATTGGAAAAATTTTTGGTGATAAGGTTACTTCAGGATGTGAAAGTTAGTGATTTTGATTGTGAAAGTGAGTGATTTTTATTTTTCCATACTTCGAAAATTATTTCTCTCTTAAATGTTTTACTGTACTTTATTCTTTTTCCAGTTTGCATTCATTTAATGTAAACTGAAATTTATTGAAAGTTTTCAACGTCACACTGGTTATGCAAATACATCTGTTTGGGTGTAGCATAGGCATCGGTACCCGCGGGGGGGGGGGGGGTTAGTCACACAAATGTTTTGCAAATACATCGTTGGGGGGGGGGGGGCGGTTCCACTTTCAATTCGCTTCTGACGGCTATGAATAAGAAAAAAAAGAGTTGGACTGAGCGAACTTCTATATACTCATCTTCTCCTTGTTTTCAATGAGGGTGAATCAATACATGTAAATTAAAACGTTTTTCGAACGATATATTTATTACAAATTGATTCTCTCTATTACTAAAATCTTAGTCTAGAATTTTGTTTTTATACATATTTTTTCAAAGTGCGTTGAGTGTCCACATGGTAAAAAATGTTGATGTACACTCTTAACGCTCTTTGAAAAAAAATTTCAAAGTGCGTTGAGTGTGTCCCAAATTTAACGCACTTTGAAAAAAAATTTTCAAAGTGCGTTGATTTTGTCCCAATTTTAAAGCACTTTGAAAATTTTTTTCAAAGTGCGTAATTTTTTCAAAGTGCGTTGCCACAATGCATATATAATTTTAAAAATTTCATCCCTTTAAAATCTTTGTCAATTTGCTGCGTCTCGGTTGACAATTCTTTTTCTCGGGGTGAAAAATTTCAATGATAATTCTTAAGTAACATTACTTTTTACTGTAGTCACACAAACCGTGAAGCGTTAGGGCATGCATTTTACAGCTTGTAAAATATCTTTGAAACATTCCCCCTCATTAAGTAAAGTTTCCCAGTCTAGATAAAATCTCACTGGAGGAGATGACGGGTAATGTAATTTTTTTTCAGTGGTGTCTCTTTCAATTAGACTTATCTAAAGTGCATGGAAGTTTAATAAAGACACAAATAAGTAATAATTCTAAAAGCCACCTCTCTCATTTTTTCCGGCAGTATCTCTGGAGAATCGCTAAACAACTTGATACCCTGATAAATTAAGTATTTTAAATGTAACTCAGAATATTTAAACTACATAAAATAATGTCAATATTGATAATGTATAGTTTTATTACAGAAAATAAATACATTAAATTGTAACGGTTGGAAGAGCTTGTGTTTTGAATGGCCATATACATACGTTGGTTGATATTGGTGTAGAGTTACCTTTTTTCCTCTTTAAAGTACCGAGTGTACACTGTAGTGCAAATGTAAACGAAACGCCCGTATAAGAAAATGGTAATCTTAAAAAGTACAGTTTAAAACAAATGACGAGTACAAAAAGTACTTCTAATATTTCTTCAGTAAACAACCATTCTTCCTGTCATTCTTGAACATTATCGAATGCAGGAAGATACCTTGAGATAACTATAGATATTGCTACTGCTAGTGTCCGTATTCTGATTGTCATATTTATTGTGTACTAGTATTAAAATGATATTCAACTGAATGAAACACTGAGAGTAATATAGTCATGTACATTAATGATATCTCTTTTATTGTAGGAAATGTATTAAATACACGTGTCTGTCGACCAGGACTCACGTCAGTGGAGTATCCGGAAAATCTCCCTGCTTGTAACTATTGCCAACCAGAGTCGTGTTCTTTTCTTCAGTATTTTTACTCAGCAGTAAAAACAGGAATTATGAATTGTAGAATAAAAAATATTTTTGGAAAATATACAAAACGAGTGTTAAACAAAGCCAGATGGATAAATGCAAACATCGAACAGTGTCAAATTAATTAAAGAGGATTTGTTTGACCTGATTGTGGCAGTTTTCCTTAGATCTTACATTATTTTACTGTCAAAGTATAGTTTACTTTAATACATATATTTCGAAATAAATCTACTGCTCTTGTTGTATATATACATGCATATATATAAGTTATTATGAACATTACGTAATTATATTATATGATTATGAATATATGTTTCAACTTTTAATCTTGAACCATCAAGTACATGTAAGTATAATAAGAGATTATCTGTACAATGCTATATCAACATAACTCTGTCATCCCTTCTATGAACCAGTACCCAGTAGATGTAAAATTTTTATATAACTCCATGAACCTAAATGCCAACTTCAGTAGTAAAAAACATTTAAAACTGGTTACAAAAGTACATTTAAAATGGTTTGTAAAAAAACCAAACTACATTATGCATACATGAATCTATTTGTACATGTGAATATTGTGATATTATGTTAGTGTGAAAATACCGAAAGTAGTTAATCATGAATTCCTGTGTAGACTCTAAACCTTTCCTTTAAAGGTAACAGAGAATATAAGAAACCCATTCAAATATTTCAAATGTAACGTCTATATTACGTGATTATTGTTTTTATAAACAGATGTAATTGTCAGTAAATTTATTTGTTGAGAGTGTTCTACATGACATATATTTTTTACATTGTAAAAAGGAAATATATTAGCTCGGAATAAATGTATACAGTTTCCACTTCCCTTTTTAAAAGTGTTTATTATATTAAAGTGATTTTTTTTTACATCTCCTTGCTTCCATAGCAACACCAAACAACCAAACCATCAAACATACAATCATAGTAAAACCCTAATATTTAAGATGTACAAGAACATTACATCCAAATATATTTGAGCATTTAAATAAAGAAAAAACCCTCATAAAAACGTCAACACGAACTAATTCATTGAATATAGACACGAAACTGTTATGTGTGACACTCCGATACTAATGAAATAAATTTTCCCTTTAAAAGAATTTGAAATCTATTTGAATGAAACTAAATGTTATTAAACTGCTAAAGGTAAATAAAAATGTCATTGTAAAACTTATGGTATGCAAGAAGAAAGTTATTGTAAATTGCTTAGCCGCCGAAAACTTGAAGGTTTGTACATGTGCGCACATAATTTGCAGCTCGAAAGGAAAGTGCGTATAACACTGTGTTTGCCATTGCGAAAGCCAGTTGGGAAATATGTATTCACTTTAATTTCATAATAAATCAGCAACACCCATCTCTTATCCACAACTCCTCTTTTACCACTGAATTTTAATGAGACTTTCACAGAATCTTTGTTTCATAGTGCCATTGTTACCTCCTATTTTACTTTTTGATCGGACACATATTTTGCGTTTCCCAGAGCAAAACATGAGCACGGCCATTTTTTTCTATAATATTGAAGGTTACCATCTCTTATCGCAACTCATCTTATTCATGTACCACTGAATAAAATGATACTTTTAAGGATTCTTTATTTCAAAATGCCATTGTGCACCTCTAATTTTACTTTTTGATCTGACACTTATTTTGGGTCCCCAGTGAAAAACATGGACTTTGCCATTGTAACCATATTGGAGGCGGGGGTATAATTTAGTGAGCACATTGCTCACAATACCTCTAGTTTATTCTGCAATATCAATATTATCATTATTATTATTTGTTTATTTTTTCAATCTCATGCAGTCTCCATGTATGCGCAGGCTAACAAATTCAGAAATGCATTAATAATAAATTTAAACAAACGCCCGGACTACCGGGTATAAGACATATATGGCACAGTAAACAGAAAATAGTTTACAAGTATCAAGTAATTTTTTTTCTGGTTTATAACAAAAGCTGTCTGTGTATAAGCTAAATGCAAGTGTTTTACGTTTTGTGGATGGAAATTTGATTAAGAGAAATTAACAACTGTTTGAGAAATGGGACCCTTACACTAGCTTGCATCTAAAATAGAAAGAACATTGCCGATAACCCCCTCCCCCCCCCCCCCCCCCCCCCCGATCCCCTTTCCCAATTTCCTCAGTATTGCGATTTTTTTCCTCACCATTTTCAACTGATCAAATTCATGTGTTATGCATGGTTGTCGCTGCATATTATTTCTAATGCACGAGCAATTCTTTTACAGTTAAATACCGTTCATTCTGACTTTATGATTATAATGGCGAAGTTCAATTTTTGGGAGACCGAAATAAGTGTCAGATCAAAAAGTAACATAGAAAGTGCACAATGGCATTTTGTAATAAAGAATCTATGAAGTTATCATTAAATTTTACATATAGTTAATGGTATAGGAGGTGTTGTGGATAAGAGATGGGTACCCTTCGTTATTATAGAAAGAATGGCAATGTTAATTTTTGCTATGGGAAACCCAAAATATGTGTCGGATCAAAAGTAAAAAAGCAGGTGAACAATGGCACTATGTAACAAAATGTCTGTGAAAATCTCATTAAATTTCATTAAGTGTTATAAGATGAATTGCAGATAAGAAATACCTTGAAGCGTAACAGACAGACGGAGATCCCGATCACTATATACCCTCACGCTTTTCAAGCTGTGGGTATAATAAGTTGCTGGTCATCCTAACATGTTTCCGCAATAAGTAAAATTATGAATAAAATGACATTCTGCA